TTTGGGGAAGGTGGAGAAGAGGGTGGAACTGACTGGGGTGGAGTTTTGGGCAGCAGGGGGACGAAAGAGAGCTCCTTGAAGAGAATAGGACCCTTCAAGGTGGGCCTGGACATGTTCTTGTTCTTGTTCTTGGAATGGCCTTGAGAGCCCAAGAAAGTAGCAACTAGGGACTCACTGTGCAGAGAAGGGAGGCCACAGAATAGTTGGCTGCATTTCTGCTGAGGATGGCTCCCTGAGTCATTAGCCTGTCCCCCAGGTAGTGGATAGAGGCCACTTAGGACTTTAAGTGCTGGAGAGGGCAAGGCTAGATCCATAGGGTTTTGGAATGTGTTGCTGGTACCTTTCTTCTGGGTTCATAACGGACCATTCAGAAACCCAGAAGGTCTGGGTGGGCTGGCCAGCCATGCATGAACCCCAGGTCTGGTGGAAAATTCATCTAATTTTTGTTAACAGAGACCTTAGAAATATTATTCACGATTTAGGGAAGTGGTTGGTTATATCCTGGTCAGTAAGACAACGTCGGCTCTGGCATAAGCTGTCTCAGGGACTCCTCCACACGTCTAGGGAGCCCCCACCTTGGGAAATGCATCCATTTTTTCACATGTATCTCAAAAAGCCTCAGGACTTCTGGACTAAGGAATGGCATGTGGACAGGTAGAATTGAGATCATATGCAATTGTGTAATGGCGATGCAAAAAAGATTAGTCAAAGGAACATGAGTGCAATGAGAAGCCCAAAGGGGCTGCACCTCAGCAACTCCTCTGTTAGAAGGAGAAAACGGGGTACAGCCCCAATTCAAAGTTAGCTTCTGTTTTTATTGTAAAGACAAGGAAGTTTCACAAGAAAAATCAGTTGATTCAATCATTTCTAAAGGACACAAAGACGTGCGCAATGTGACAAAAGTTATCCATAGCTAAGTATAGCTTAAAACAATGGAACATAGTAATATCATTAAAACTAACAGTGTATATTCCAAAGTATAATTAGTGAAACGTTAAGCTAATTACAGTGTGATCATTATCTTTAACTTAAGATGTAACTAGTTTTATAACGGCTAAAACAATCATTACATTCCTATGATTCTATCTATCTGTGATTGTATCTTAAGTTTCCATTAACAAAAAGTTTTCCCTTCAGCAAACATTTCTGACATATTTTCCTACAGCAATTCTTTAAAAGCTGTTAACAAGATTGTTATGTCAACCACCTGTTAACTCTAAAATCATTAAAGTATGCAATCCCAGACCTAAACAGTGATTACAGTTGATTCGATGGGCTATTGCCTGCTAGCTGTAGGCGTTGTCTCCTAACTGAGGACTTGCGTCCCATACCTGCATTACCTAAAAACCCTATCTAAAAATCAACTGAGAATCAACATATACTTGATTAGAATTGATTAGATGGACTTTTTGCCCCACTAGCTGTAGGCTGTTGCCTCCTAGCTAAGGACTTTTGTCTCATAACATTTTTAGCTAAAGAGCTCTGTGTAAAAATCAGACGAGAATCAAGATTTTTAACCCTCTACATGCAATGCCATAGGATGTGTCAAATTAGTGATTTCTGGGTTCAGGGGTAGCAAAGAAATGTGGGACTTCAAGGGCTGCTGGCCTTCATCCCCCGGACAAGGTTGGGGTTGTTCTGCATCATCTCCTGCTGTTGCTGGAACACTAGGCTCCTCAAGACTTGAAGAAGCCATAGTCTCGGGGCCCATGGGCACATGTGGCACTTGAAATTCCTGCTCTTGCTGGTGATGATCAGCCCAGTAATCTTGTATACTGACTGCACCAGTTGACGGGGCAGCTGACAGGGTTAAGGATTTCTGTTCCGTTAATTGTGCCGGTGTTGGGGTTGCAGATGCCAGTGAAAGGTCTCTGGGGTCCTGGGAATGAAGCTTCAGACTCTGCTCAAAAGACCCACTAGACATGGATGAAATCTCTAGGTAAGAGGAGTTCTGGGATTGCCTTGATAAAGTGGGGGAGATCTGGTTGTTCTCACCCACCACCAATTGCTGAATCTCCAGAGTTACAGTGTGCAGGTTTGGCAGCAGGGATCTGCACACAGGAGCCGCCGCACACTTCCCTCCTGAGGAAGCCAGCCCTGGTTGGGAAGGGAAACATGGCAACTGTTAATGATAGAGTGACATCTGTCTCCTTGGAAGAGTGGGGCCTGGGGATTGACACCGCTCCTCCCTAGTCCTACAATCCTTGGGTGTCTACCCCTCTGCTTTTCTTCCTAAGAAAATGCCATTTGGCAAGATATGGTGGGCAGCTGAGGGTCTGGGGCTTGTTGGGCAAAGTCTCAGACAACCCATGGAAGGGCATGGCCCTCAATGAGGACTGGGAGCTGGGGTCACTTCTCTGTTGACCATGTTGAGAAGCTGAATGAGGAGAAAGGAACCAGGCAGATGGGGGAGCCAAGTGGTTAGCTGATGGGGCATCACTGGGAACATCACCAGGTGGAATCCAGATCAGTATCATTTGAGGCTAAGAAACCTGAAGGCTGGTATTCACTACAGTTGACCCTTGAACAACACAGGTTTGAACTGCATGGGTCCTCTTAAATGCAGATTGTTTTCAATAAACACATTGATTTTTTTTCAATAAATAAATACAGTACAGTGTTGTAATTTTCTTAACATTTTCTTTTCTCTAGCTTTATTGTAAGAATACAGTATATAATACATATAACATACAAAATATGTATTAATCAACTGTTTATGTTATTGGCAAGGCTTCCAGTCAACAGTTGACTATTAGTAATTAAGTTTTGGGAAGGTCAAAAGCTATATGTGGACATTCAATGGCATGGGGTTTGGTGCCCTGAATGTCTATGTTGTTCAAGGGTCAAGAGTACATTCAAACTGTGAAAAATGAGTTCTTTATTGGAACTCGGCATTTTGGGGGCTATTTGGTGTCCCTGCTGCTATATTCCTCATCTGTTGGGAATCAATCCTGTTCTCTAGAAATCTTGAAGAGAGGATCAGATGATAGGCTCCTGTCTGAGAGTTGTCTGAGGAACTGGCCTCCCTGAAGACAGAACCAGGGGAGGTGATGTCAGCAGGGTCCAGCCAGACTCAGAGGCATCTGCCCTTGAAAGGGTCTAGCTGTAAAGGGAATGCAACAATGATGTCTTCTTTATACAAAATCCATTCTGTTGACTGAATAACTTCTCTCAGCTGAATGCAAACCCATACAGAGTCTTTTATAAATTATGCTCTAGTCAAATCCTGAATTCTAGAACTACTATGACTCTAGCACAGAGTAGAATTTGGAGACTCTTCCCTCCTGAGATGTCTGACCCACCTCCCACCCCCATGCCCTGGCAACCCCTGAACCAATGAACCAGCCCCTATTGTATATGTTTCCCATCCATTATCCCTCTCCTCATCCCTGCCCCAGGCCAAGCTGAGAACTCATCAGAAGCCAGGCTGAGAACTGGGAGACGGCAAAGATCAAGAGATCACCTTTTCATGGCAGAGAGTTGCTCCTGTGGCTTCTCAGCTTCTTTCTGGGAAGCTCTCCTAGCTGAGGAAACAGGAGACAGTGTTATGTGATATGGGACAGTTTCAGGGGCATATATAGGAAGCTGGATCGTACAGCCTTTGACTCTCAGCGAGAGGGGACTGAAAACCCAAAGAGTCAATGCTCTAAGGCATGCCTGTGTGCAATGTCACCATTTGTGACATTCTGTACCACACCTAATTTCATATGATCTTCGCAGCCACAATTTGAGTGAGGCAGGATCATCAGTATTATGTCCATTTCATGGAGAAGACTGAGAGATGAAATGACTTCTGCAGGATCACAAAATTAGTAGGTGATACAATTAAGGACATCTGCCCTACTTTCTTAATTCTTCATTCCCAGGGCATTAAAGCAGAGAATTTTGGAACATTTCCAAGCTCTGATTTCCCACCAAGAGAAGTTTTCTGTGAAACTTGTCAGTTTGAGGAATTGGAGGCTACAGTGGTTTAGAGCACCTGGCACCTGGCCCTGGAGTCAAAGAGGGACTGGATCCATGGGAGCTTCACCCACAGTGGAAGAGTCAGAGGACAGACTGGGACTTTACCTCTTGATGCTGCATCTCTGGCCCTTTGCCTGACTTTTGGTGATGCTTAAAGACAAAAACATTAGAATGTCAAGCTGGGACACCATTTTCTTTTTCACATCCAAAATGAGACAAAGTTTATATACATTTTCCACTCCCTTTCTACATTTCTGTTTGTATTTTATATTTGCCTAC